CAAGTTCTCAAATTTGGACTCATCAGACCAAAGCACAGATGTCCACTGGTCAGATGTCCATTCCTTGTGATTCTGGTGATAAATGTATCCTCAGCAGCAGAGGGACTCTTGCTCTTCCTTTCCTGGGGCGGGCCTCATGTGAGACAGTTTTGTCGTAGTGCTTGATGTTTTGTGCGACTGCACTTGGGGGACACATTCAAGTTTAGCATTTTTCCAGATTGACTGACCTTCAGTTTTTAAAGTAATGATGGACTGTAGTTTCTCTTTACTTAACTGATTGGTTGTTGCCATAATATGAATTTAACAGTAGTCAAATAGGGCTGTCAGCTGTGCACCAACCTGACTTCTGGACAACACAACTTGTGGTCCCAACCCCATAAGACAGAAAGAAATTCCACAAATGAACCCTGACAAGGCACACCTGTGAGGTGAAACCATTTCAGATGACTACATCATGAAGCTCACTGAGAGAAGGCCAAAGGTTTGCAGCGTTGTCAACAAGCAAAGGGTGGAATCTAAATATAAAACATTTAGCGTTATACATCAGCTATCTCTTTGATATATAATTCCATATATATTGCTTCATATATTTCATGTCTTCAGTTTGTATGTACAATGTAGAAAGTAGTAAAAACAGACAAACATTAAGTCAAAAGGTGTCCAAATTTTTGAATGATAGTGTATGGGGGGTGGAGTTGGGAGTGTACTCCGAAGCCCAGATAAACAGAGAGGGCTGTTACAGGAATGGCATCTGGTGTATTTCCATATCGGATCAGTCGGTACCTGGGTTAACAATTACTGCCTCCTGTGCTATTGGCCAACAGAGAGCCGATGGAACTGTGCTACTATTCGAAGACAAAGGAAGAGGAAAGGGAGAAGCGTGTTAGGAGTCAAAGAGAAGGACAGGCAGGAGCGTGGAGGTACTATGACTGGCAAAGGGAGAGAGCTGGCTGATATGAATGGAGAGAAGGAAGGTAGATTTACTATGTGTGCAGGAGACCAGGTTGAAGGTTGGATGTCAGTTAGAAGAGAAAGAGGAATTCTGCAGTTAGTTTGATAAAGTGGTAGAGAGTGTTGATTGGAGCAGACTTCAGTAGCCATGTAGGTGAAGGAAAGAGAGATAATGAGGAGGTGTTAGATAGGTATGGTGTTAAGCAGAGAAATGCAGAAGGTCAAAATTAGGAAGATGGAAATGGCTGGGGTGAACTCATACTTCAAGAAGAAGGAGGAACATAAGGTGACGTAGAAGAGTGGAAGAAAGTGTACACAGGTGGCTTACATCCTAAACAGAAGGGTCAGTGTGAAAGAGATAGGAGACTGCAAGGTGGTGTCAGGAGAGAATGTAGCCATGCAGCATTGGACACTAGTCTGTAGGATGACTTTGGACGTCAAGAAGAGGAAGAGAGTGAAGGCAGAGACAAGAACTAAATGGTGGAAGCTGAAGAAGGAAGAATGTTGTGCAGTTGTTAGTTCAGGGAGGAGTAGACATTCTCTGGGTGGAAGGAAGAGTTACCAGATGACTGGAAAAATACAACTGAAATGGTAAGAGAAAGGCAAAGAAGGTGTTGGTGTATTTTTTGGAGAGAGAGAAAAGAGGACAAGGAGACTTGGTGGTGGATTGGACACTTTCCTGTAGTTCCTCAAAGGAATAGCTAAGAGAAAGTGCGATAGTCAGGGAGATGGAGAAAGTAGACAGGAATACTGGGAGGCCAGGCCTACTGCAAAGATAGAGGTGGAAAAGGAAAAAGCTTATACTGAGTTGTATGTGAGGCTGGGCACTAAGGAAGGAGAACAGTACTTGTGTCAATTAGCTAGACAGAGATTGAGCTGAAAAGGATGTGCAGCAGGTTAGAGTGATTAAGGATAAAGATGGTGAAGAGAGTGTGTTGAGAAGATGGAAGATAGAAGTATTCTCTCATTGTCTTCATTAATGAAGACATTAATGAAGACAGAAACTGAGGACAGATGGAGGAAAGTTAGTGAATCAGGAAGCGCAGGGGATAAGTAAGGAGGACGTGAAGGCAGCTATGAAGAGAGGAAAGGCAGTTGGTCCACATGACATATATGTGGTTGTATAGAGATGTTGAGGAGAAAGGACTTTTTAACCAGATTGTTTAACACAAGTTTGGAGAGTGAGGAATGAATAAGTGTACTGGTACCAGTTTTCAAGACCAAGGGTGATATGCAGAGCTGTAGTAACTACAGAGCGATAAAGCTGAGACACACCAAGAAAGAGTTGTTGAAAGTAGGTTAAGAAGAGAGGTGATGATCCATGAGCAGCAGTATGGCTTCTCACTGAAAAAGAGCAGTGCAGATGTGATGTTTGCTTTGAGTGTGTTGATGCAGAAGTATAGTGAAGGTCAGAAAGAGTTGCACTGTGTCTTTGTGGATCTGGCAAAAGAATATGATGGGATGCTAAGAGAGGAACTGTGGTACTGCATGAGGTAAGTCAGGATGTGAGGGTGGTGCAGGATGTGTTCAAGGTGAGGGTGGGATTACATCAGGGATCTGGAGTCAGGAGGAGGGACAGGAAACAGAAATGAGTATACAAGAAGGACAGCTCATGCTGAATGGTATGGAGAGAAAGTTAGAGACAAGGCTGAGATGATTCAGACATATGCAGAAGAGGGATAGAGGAAATACTGGACAAATGAGGGAGAAAACAGGATGACCTCAGAGATGACCTCAGAGGTCGACACCAGAGGCAGGCCCTAAAGAGAGCATTTCTCTCTCTCTACAATACATTATATATATATATATATATATATATATATATATATATATATATATATATAAATATAAATGAATGATGGATCGGGTGATCACATAATATGTAATGTGATCACCTGATCCACCATAGAGATCAGAGGTCCTCTTTTGGATTGAGATCTGGTGACTGTAGAGGCCATTTGAGTACAGTGAACTGAACTGTTATGTTTAAGAGTGCAATTTGACATCATTTGAGCTTCTTGACACTGGTTATTATCCTCCTGGAAGCAGCCATAATGAGATGGGCACTTCTGATGGATGGGACATATTTAATTTTTACAAAGTATTAAAGAACACACAAGTCAATATTATATTGCATTACAGATTATATATTAATGGTAGATTTTCACTAATAGAAGCTTACAGTAGAGGAACCAGGTTTTAATATAAAAGGGAACACAGCAATATATGTATCCTTTGTACGGAAGCCCATGCTTTCATATAATCTATCAAAATTCACCAGTATGATTTATAATAGTTTGAAAAATACTTGAAACAAAACTACAGTTTCTTGCACATTGTCTATATTTATGTTATGTAGACACAATTTGTAGCTCACTACTAAAGCAGGGTCAAGGTGGTTTTTCAGATTCAGTCTCCTATTTGTCGAGATATTTTGGTAAAATATGCTGGTAACACTAAATGGAAAGCAGCCCCTCAAGACCTTAAATGATTTTTTTAAAACTGAATGGTCTAAAAAAGTTACTGATATGCCATTTCTATAGCAAAGATAAAAGTATGGTTTAAAAAGAGAAGCCTAAAATGAGAACCAGAAGGCAGAAATGATGAGCTGCATTAATAATTTCTAAACCTGTCTCACATTAACTGATCAAACCCATGTTAACTAGCACACTGTTTAGTTTAAATTGAAAATCCAGTCGTAATTTTTCAGGAACTGAAGCACTGTCTCATAGCCCAGTTTAGGCCAGTCCATATTCAATATTTCTATTTCAGCATTTAATTTCAAAAACTGTATTGGTATGCTTTCCAATTTGGGTAGACCAAGACCAGATATTAAAAGTAAGACATAATAATATGTTTAACTTACCTTGTAGGGTCTTTACCCTAAAGTATAAAGTGCCCTCAGGTGACCTTTGTTGTGCTTTGGTGCTATATAAATAAAATTGAATTGAACTTGAAGGCACTATTTATTTCTCCTTCATTAGATAAACTGTCATTATCTTCATTTGTAGTTATAGTAGCTTGGGGGCAGTGAATGGGCAAAGACAGTAGTTGGCAGTAGAGTGCAAAAAAGTTCTTGGGTGCAGTGACTGTCCAAAAGCAGTAGGGGCAGTAGAGAGCAAAAAGTACTTGGGTGCAGTGACTATCCACAACCAAAAGGGGCAGAAGGGCAGTAGAGAGCAAAAAGGCTCAGGAGCAGTGATTTTTCATAACCACTAGTAGCCAGTAGAGAGCAAAAGTGTGTGTATGAAAAGAATAGCAGTGTGTATAGAAGTGTGTATTTTTTTCTCGTATTTCTATCTTTCTGAGGACCTCGCTCAAACTTTGAGAGAAGCATAAAATGGCCTCTAGAAGGCATTACAGTGAAAAACAAGTGAGGACCATATTAAATGTCCTCACTTTCCCAAAAGGTCCTCACTCGTAAGGTCTTAAACCCGTGATGGTCCTCGCAAGTATAGCAGAACAAGCACACACACACTCACAGACACACACACACACACACACACACACACATATATATATACACAATGTTTTTGACTGTAGGGTGACAGGAAAGGGAAGGGGAGGTCTGTTGGTCTGACCGGCCTGGAATGGTACTAGGAAGGCTGGGATAATGTCAAGCTTTGTGTAGGTGTTGATGTTGCTTTTTTACAACCACTCAGATAAAGCCAATGACTCAAAATTGGACGAAATGTGCCTAATAGAAAAAAATAAGTATTTTTTTTCCAGCGTTTAACAGTGAAGCAGTTTTACATGGCTTAAGGCAAGACGGATGGTGATCAGAAGGCAGCTGAGCAGCTGGTCTGGTTGGACAGACTGTGTGAAAGTGAGGTGGATTTTTTAAAAAACAAATGTGCCATTTATATAAATTACTTTCATGGTTTGTTTTTTTCCCCACACTCTTTTTGGCAACTTTGCATGTAAAAATTCCCAGTTGTCAGTCTGTTGCTTTTGGGAAAACCTTTCAAAGAAAAAGATAAAATAAAAATTTCAAATCTGTAGCTGACTTTGCCTTTTTAACTTGATCTGGCTGCTGTGTGTCTGTGCAGAGTTCCCACCTGGCGCTCATAGACACCCTGATGATGGCGTACACCGTAGAGATGGTGAGCGTGGAGAGGGTGATGTCCTGCATCAACAGATACTCCACAGCCGAACCATCGAACGGCGACGGACGCATCCAGGAGCTGCCTTACGACACAGAGGATGCAGTCACCACCTGGATCAACAAGGTACTCGTATACACAAACACAGGGAGATGTTGTCTCCACGAGCTAAATTAAGCCTTAAGCCGTTTACCAAGGTGGCTTTTTATCGTTTCACTCTACTTACTTTGTTCTCTGGATTTAGTAGACACTCAAGCTCCTGGAAAGTGTGTCAGTTCTTAATTCCTCCACTGTTTGTAAGAAATCTAATATGTTTGCAAGAGGAGAAGATGGAAAAACTGGCACCGTGCACATGTGATAATGCCAGAGAGATTCCCAGTCTCTGTTAAAGCAGGATTAGGAAGAATAGTTGTACCTCAGTGGGGCTTTAAAGCCTGTAAAGCCCCACTGAGGTACGACTATTCTAACCTTGTAGACTGTATATAAAAGAGTGACAGAGCCAGCGTGATGGTGGTTAGTAAGTCCAGTTGTGAAGCCTCAATCTGAGCATTTTTCACTGATGTTTTGAAATCGGATGTGATAAGCAAATAAGCAAATGATGGATCATAGAGTAGCCATTTCTTTCTGCTTTGTTCTCCTCTTTCACTGCAATCGGGAGCATAATTTAGAAAACAAGCTTTGTTGTGTTCAGTGAGTCTTATAAGTAGCAGTTGTCACTATGAGCTCACCAGGAAAATATCTGCTGAAGTCACAGGGCGGATTTCTATAAAACCGAACTTCTTTCTTCAGTCAGAGGAGGCGCCACCTGCTGACCACCTAATGAATACAGGTTAAAAGAGCTTTCACATTGGCTTCAACTTTCAGATCTCCATCCATCTTCTACATACAGTCAGTATTTTTAACAACTTGATACAGGTTTGTTTTTGTTTTTTTAAACCAATACTGATACTGATTTGGTGATATAAAAATCTAATATTCACAAAATATTGCATGATGTTACTCTTCACTTCAGACATAAACATGAACAGATTTCCTAAAACTTGTTTGCACTCTGCCTAACTTTGCTGAGAAGTAGTGCCCTCTGGTGTACAAACTACGCAACAACAACACTCGTAACATCTGAAGGGTGTTTCTCCAGTCTTTACTTAATTTTTTTAAATTTTCATTCATAGGCTGTTCTTGCTGTCAGAAAGAGAGGCTGGGCTTGGATTACAAAGGTCAAACTGAAAACACAGAACGTCAGCCAGACTTTGTTTATTGATTGCAAATCAGCGTTAAAGTTCCCACAATTGGAAGCTGCAGTGGCTCAGGAGGTAGAGCATGTAATCTGCTAATCAGAAGGTTGGTGGATGGATCCCCGGCTCTTCCAGTCTACATCCCAAAGTGCCGTTGGGAAAGACACTGAACCCCAAATTGCTCCTGATCCATCAGAGTGTGATTGCGTGTGTGATACTTAGAAAGTGCTTAAGGCATAGAATAAAGGGCTGTATGTGTGAGTGTGAATGAAGCGGGTGGTAAAAGCACTTTGAATGCTCAGAAAAGAAAAGCACTAATAAGTACCACTCCATTTACCATGTGCAATCTCTCTTACTGTTTCTCTCAGCATTACAGTTTCAGGATGGTTCTGGCCTGTGGAGAGACAATCAAAGCTAATGGTAACATTAGCATTACAGCTGCAGGACGCACTAAAACAAAGATTTTCTCATTGTTGTGGAACATCACATATCAAAAGTCAATTTAATCTAACTGGTCTTCAGCTCTTCGAATGACTGCCAGACTGTTGAGTTTGGTTTTACATCCATGCACAAACCAGCATTTGTGCATGTGGCTGAGAGATTTTAGATCCTACAGTGTTAAACTTCAAATTACCAAAAAAAGAATAAATAAATTACACAGGCACGAGTGGGCTGTGCTGGGAGCATGGCTGTGTGTTAGCAGATTGCAAAAAATGACCTTATTAATACCCTTTTTATTTAATCTTTTTGGGGTGCCATGCAGAGGGTTCTCTGGCAAAGGGTAAAACTTAACTCTGGGGTCAATCCACCACCTGGATCCAGCTGAAAGCACTAACACGTACCCAACATGAACCCCGTTAACTCCAGCCAACTGTGTAAATTAGAAGGTTAAGCACATTCCTGGAGGGAAATTACACTCACAAAGCTTGTTCACTTAAAATTGTGTATTAAAGAGTGAGCCAACACTTTACGGTCCATCTCAACGAAAGGCCGACAAATAAGCACCAAAATAATAAGAAACATCCATAATTCAACAAAAAAACTACAGTTTCCAGGAATACAAACAACACAGTATTTCAGTTTGATGCAATTCAAATTAAACAACTAGGGAAGTTTTACTCTTTACCAGGGAACCTTCTGGCTAGCACCCCAAAAATATAAAACAAAAAGAAAGAAGGTAATTCTTAAGTATTTGGAGACTTTCACAGTATTTGCAGTGACTATTTATATTAAAAATCCATTCAAATTTACCTTCAAGATGACAGCAGTTTGATCTCTGTTATTGCAGCGCTTTTAAAGATTGCTTGGTCACATTAAGTGGTTTTTACTGTCCTTGATGAGTGTTTGAGGAGTAAGCTGAGTGTGAAACAGCCTCATCTCAAAGATGAATTCCTTTCTTTCTCCTTGAAATAATAAAACAAGCCTCAGTACAGAGTTCATCAAATGTAAGATCTTCTTATCATCAGCCATAATCCTTTCTGGAAGAACTCATGTGCTGTCTGCTTCAAGGCCAAAGACGGAAAGATGCACACTTTGCAGGATTTATTTACAGATACACACTTGGTAAAACATTGACGATTGTGTCTCTGCGTAGCCCCGAGGCGTGGCACGCAATGGCGGGGGGGAATGGCTGATGTGACCATGTGTATCCTCTGAAAACAATAAAAACAAACCTTTAAACCTGTGCTTGCATCAGAATTTAGCCGAGTTCTGTATATTGGTTCGATGGTATATTTATACACTGAACAAAAATATAAACGCAACACTTTTGTTTTTGCTCCCATTCCCCATGGGATGGACGTAGAGACCTAAAATTCATTCCAGATACACAATATAACCATCCCTCCCAAACAGTGGTCACAAATCAGTCCAAATGTGTGGTAGTGGGCACATCTGCTATATTGAGATAATCCATCCCACCTCACAGGTGTGCCACATCAGGATGCTGATCTGACATCATGAGTAGTGCACAGGTGTACCTCAGACTGCCCACAACAAAAGGCCACCCTGGAATGTGCAGTTTTGACTCACAGCAAAATGCCACAGATGCCACAAGCAATGAGGGAGCGTGCAATTGGCATGCTGACAGCAGGAATGTCAACCAGATCTGTCGCCCGTGCATTGAATGTTCATTTCTCAACCATAAGCCGTCTCCACAGGCGTTTCAGAGAACATGGCAGCACATCCAACCGGTCTCACAACCGCAGACCTCGTGTAACCACACCAGCCCAGGACCTCCACATCCAGCAGGTTCACCTCCAAGATCGTCTGAGACCAGCCACCCAGACAGCTGCTGGAACAATTGGTTTGCACAACCAAACAATTTCTGCACAAACTGTCAGAAACCGTCTCAGGGACGCTCAACTGCATGCCCGTCGTCCTCATCGGGGTCTTGACCTGACTCCAGCTCGTCGCCGTAACAGACTTGTGTGGGCAAATGCTCACATTCGATGGCGTCTGGCACGTTGGAGAGGTGTGCGCTTCACGGATGAATCATGGTTCACATTGTTCAGGGCAGATGGCAGCTGAGAATGTCCCAGTTCTTGCATGGCCAGCATACTCACCGGACATGTCACCCATTGAACACGTTCGGGATGTGCTTGACCGGCGTATACGACAGCGTGTACCAGTTCCCACGAATATCCAACAACCTCGCACAGCCATTGAAGTGGAGTGGACCAACATTCCACAGGCCACAATTGACAATCTGATAGACTCCATGCGACGATGTGTTGCACTGCATGAGGCAAATGGTGGTCACACCAGATACTGACCGGTTCTGGGTCCCCAGACCCCCAATAGTGCAAAAAACTGCACATTCCAGGGTGGCCTTTTGTTGTGGGCAGTCTGAGGTACACCTGCGCACTACTCATGATGTCAGATCAGCATCCTGATGTGGCACACCTGTGAGGTGGGATGGATTATCTCAATATGGCAGATGTGCCCACTACCACACATTTGGACTGATTTGTGACCACTGTTTGGGAGGGATGGTTATATTGTGTATCTGGAATGAATTTTAGGTCTCTACGTCCATCCCATGGGGAATAGGAGCAAAAACAAAAGTGTTGCGTTTATATTTTTGTTCAGTGTATTTAGCTTCAGTCGTTGATGGGTGGAGGTGGTGGTGACAAAAAATCTTCTGTTTGATGTGTGCCTTCTTACTATCACCGCCGGTTTTTCAAGTCTTCAGCACAGACTCACTATTCACTTTCAGTGTGCACCAGATGCTCGTCTGACTTTTGACCTCGTTGCCTTTCTCGTTCCTTCTCTTTCTCTGAAGGTAAATGAACACCTGAGGGACATCCTTGTAGAGGAGCAGAAGTTGAGAGAGGCTTCACTGCAGGAGTCAAACGCCACAGCGCTTAAAGTAAGAACGCACGCATAGACTGAAATAAAAAATTCCACGAATGATCCAAATAACAGGGTGTTCAACGACCTGCTGATGCCTGTGCTATAAAACTCCTGTTATTAGAACTGCAAACATGGGGAGACTGTTAGCTCTTTTTATCAGCACCTCTAAATGAAACTCTGGTGTCTTGTGAAACAACAGATTGTAGTTTTTTTTTTATTTTATCCTTGTTCCAGCGTTTTACTTTACACACAGAGTTGCATAAATCTTCCAATCTACGGTAACTTCCAGCAGCAAAGTAAATGAGAAATTTGTATGCAGGTGTTGCAAAAAAGAAAAGAAAATCTATTAAATCTAGAGATGGACCGAACCGATATTACGTATCGGTATCGGTCCGATACTGACGTAAATTACTGGATCGGATATCGGAGAGAAATAAAAAATGTCATCCGATCCATTAAATATCAAAAAAGCACCTCACAAAACTTGCACATTGGAGCAGTGTGCTCACGTGATAGAGCGGCTGTGTGTATTTGTAGCTTCGCTACCAAACCGGCATTTCATCTCCGATGAAGTTATCCCAGAGAGAAGTAAAGCAAGTGTGTAAGTTCATCTCTGAATGTTTGTAAAGCATTCCCGCATTAAGCTTAACAACCGATATATGGAGCGACGGCCTCTTCTCTCCCCCTCCCTCTCCTGTTGCTACTTCAATCATGAAACTGCTAATGATCAGCTGATCGGCTGATCATTAGGGAACAGGGAAAAGGGGGCACAAAGACATACTTTTCTTTCTTATTCTCATTTAAAATGTCTAGCTTTTAATAAATAATTATCTTAATCTCACACCCAAAGTTTTAATCTTATGTAAAATATATAGAAGTCCATTACTGTATATAGTAACTGTTAAGTCTAATGTAACCTAGTAAGCTATACTACTTTTTCCTTTGGGAAGGTACCATCTGTGCAGTCTGCAATTCTGTTGAAGAAAGATATTGAATCTATTTAAATATTGTAGAAAAATAATTTATTTCTGTGCATTTTTTTTCCACACTGCATCAAATTAAAGTTGATTACGTCGATTAAGCATCATGAGGTGGAGGGTGGGGGTGGGTCCCTATTTTTTTTTTTTTTTTTTTTTTTTTTTTTTTTTTTTTTTTTTTTTGGGAGTTTGCAACCCTATTAGTTAGGTTGCTTAATATTTCTGCTAAGTACTCTTTCAAATACCAGAATAGGAAGGATGGTGCAAGTTTAAGTTTATTAGATTGATCAGTTTTGCTGAACTATGAAATATTTTGGGTGCAGTTCATTTTTTACATACAGGTATAACACAATAGCTTTAGTGTTGTTGTTTATTTAAACTCAAGTATGAACTTATACAAAATGCAGCAAGATATTAAAAAAACAGTTTTATTGATTTAAAAACACTATATGGGATTCATATCGGTATTGACCGATATCCAAATTTATGGTATCTGTATCGGACTTAAAAAAGTGGTATTGTGCCATCTCTAATTAAATCTATTTTTGAATTCTTTCAATTACTTCTCATTTTATCACCAATCGCGTTCATATTATTGGATTTTAAACACACACACACACACACACACACACACACACACACACACACACACACACACACACACACACACACACACATGCAGTCACATGCAGCTCAGTACACGGGGCTCTGTGAATCAGAGGAACAGATGAGCTCAGTCTCAGACCAGCTGCAGAGAAATGTTGGCAAGAGTTGCCACACTGCTGTTAAAGGAGACAAAGAAATGTGCGGGTAAGCCAACGAGAGAAAGGGTGACAGACACGGGGGTGGAAAAAAACAAGAGAGAGAAAAAGAGGGAGGAGGGATAATCAGAGATGGAGGAAAGGGAGAAATGACACCACAGTGAGAGACACTCAGGAACTTTGTCAGCTGTAGCAGAAGAGAGGCAGTGTCATCCTGCAGGCCTCGTAGTTATGCAACGCTTCGAGCCAGTCTACTGGCACAAACACACTGCAGTCAGATACCGTCCTCTGCTGCTCACTTAACCGTGAAGCTACAGTGCGGTGCTTTGTCGGGCCTCGAGTTCTAAAACGGGCACAAGATGGCGAACGTTTAAAAATGGAAAAAAAGATTTTTATCTCACCAAGATGGAGTACAAACGGGGGAGGGGGGGATCACTTGTGTCAGGTGGAAATGATTAGCTATACTCTAACTCAGAGAGGTAAACACTGATTGAATGGAGTGAAAGGACTAATTTCAGAGATGCAATTCAAGGAACATGCCTTTGTTTAGGATCTAGAATCTTCTCCAGGCCTGTGTGCCTCTGTGAGGAATGTTGGTCAGAGCCCAAAACTTAGAAATGGAAGTTGATGCTGACAGCAGAGAAAGTGTAGTGTCCTCTAAAGCTAGTGGGGTACATCATCTGGGAAACATGAATGTCTTTTTCCAGCAACCCACAGAACTGACAGATAGTTAGCCCAGGTAACAGACACAAAATGTTGATTTGACCTCTTTCATGCAGTGAATTAAAGGGGCATTCATACAGGAAGTGAGTAAGCTGCAGTGACAGGATGTTTAATACCTTAGGTTACCTAGGCAACCGGAGTATGGAATGTCCACCAGCAGCGAGTGAATCACTTCCTGAGTGGACACCTTAACTCTAAAACATGCTCACAGGTTAGTTCAGCAGCCCAACAGTAACAGTATCTTCTTATTAGATATTTGTTAGCGATTCACACAAATATGAACCTTTATAATGGCCGCACACGGAAAGTGAGGGCATCGTCAGAGTCGGCTGGATTCCTCCTCTGGGGAGCATGAATGTGCGGTGCACCCACAAAGTTACACTGCAGTTCACAGCTGAAAACACACAGTGTCGTGGATGAACCTGTTCGCAGGCAACAGGTCGTAAGTTTCCTGCACAGTGTCACTGTGAGTGTGTTTCCTCATATGGAGCAGAATTAACTGGCTCTTCAAAGAACTGCAGGACGTCACGAGTGGTTAAGTCAGTTAGACGAGAGCTTTTATCTGCTGTGGGAGTTTCTTGGCACGTTTTCTATTGCTTACTGTCTGTTTTGTGTTAATATAGTGACAGAGAGAGATCAGTGCCTATCTGCGATTGCGCTGTGGTAACACACGCGGGGTGTGTGACCTATCAAGGCTTTGTTAAAACAAGTTAGAACAAAGGAAGACTACAGCCTTTTTAAGGTTTTGAGAAATAGCTGGACGCTCAGTCAGTCAGCTGCTTTCCTCCATGCTCCATCACACAGCTCTGTCTTTGCAGTGTCAGAGAGATAGAAGTCTATTCACTTATTAGGATTTTTTACATGTACACACACACTGTGCAAACACACACTCTCACACCAGAGGATGAGCACAAGACACTTCTCAGTGGGGCTTGTTTATTCTAGGATTGTGTGAAAAGTCGTTAACTATGGTCTTATGACCAAGCACTCAGCGTTTCTTTGTGTGGACTGAGACTTTAGGTCTTAATCGTATTATTGAGCAGAAAGTTAGAAAACACACAATGTTGGATCGTTACACAAGATTTAGGATCTTAGTTGCAAAAATTAGGTCATGTTTGTGGCTCTGTAAAGTATTTTTAGCTTTAGGTTTCGAGTGCTTATTAGTTTGCAGCTTGTGTCAATAACTTTTCAAAAGGCTGCATTAAGTTTAATGGAACAAACTGAGAAGACAGGCCAAGAAATGAGGGATTAGACTTTGGATGCAGATCTGACTTTGAAACAGGCTTGTGCACATTTAAACTACAATTAAGTGTAAAATAAAACTGCAAGTCCTGCCTGAGCACAAATGGACTGGGAAGATCAAATCTGCAGTTAGTCTGGGGACCATGAATGAATATGACAAACTCGCTGACTGTTTTTATTTTGCCCAATTAGTTATTCCCATTAGCTCTCTGTACATTGTGTTAATAACTCATTTGCAATTGAAAAGGAGCTGAAATTAGGCAATAAACATTATATCTAAATACTAAAAATATAAATCACCTTGAACCTAAACTACAGCCTTCTATCTCAAAACACGTTGCTGTGTAGTATTTGTGACTTTGTGTGGTCTCTTTATGTATGGTACACATTATGATTACATTTACTTATTATAAATAAACATCCTCACTGACATTAATCCAGTTACATTACTTAAAGACACAGTAGGCTTTTTGACTAAGAGGAATAATTGTTTATTTTGATGATTGTGATTTATTGGTAAGGTACACTGCTAAAAAAAAAAAACACCTACAGTTGATTGAATGAATGAGAATTATGCAAAATTGGAACATAAGGCGCTTGAAGCCAGTCGTTTAAGAAATACTTGGCAGCGGGTTGGTTGAGCAATCTGACTCTTGTCACACCTATGAAACATAGACAGACCCAGACAGCTGTGACCTTATTGGCCAGTAGCTTCTCAGGGGTTGCTGATTGGTTCAAACCAACTTTGTTTGGTTACAGATGCTTAAATTAAACTAGCTTAAAGTTGTAATAATGCAGGTAAATAATACTTAAATTTTTTATTTGTATTAAATCACAAGAAATGGAGTGCAGCAAAAATAAGTGGTGTAAATAAAGTTCAGGGTCATATGTACCCATATGGAAAAGATGTATATAAATCTTATAAAGTTTGTATCTGTCTTGTGTGAAACTTCTATGAAAAGCACACAAGAGTGAAAACAGATATAAGATCCCTTGAAAAATTATATAATGAAACTTGTATGTTTTGGATACTTACTAAAACAATGTATGAAAGTAATGAGAAAGTGGCCACTTTCATGAGTAAATCATAAGTTTTTACTATTTCTTTTCCATGTGGGTAAACATGGGCACCTCTGGGTGTATGACACAACTAAACTTCTGCTTTAGCAGATGCATCCTGTGATTCTCACTGTGTGTTTTGATGCTGATTTCAAATGTGTAAAGAAAGTAACACATTTTAAGTATTATATAGCTTTTGTAGAGGTATTAAGATGGTGTTTGTTCATGAGTCCTAGCAGCTGTAGCATATTTTTCCCTGCTGTTGTTTGGGGAAACACCTAACACCTAACATTCTCTCCTGTTGTTGTCCGATCATCATCCACCATCAAGTCTCCTAGCAAATGGTACTGGAGATTAGTACCTGTAAGTCGACTCATACTTAGAAACACCTCTTCAACAAACCCGCCAACTTCCTCCTCTCCCAAAAATCCCCCCGTCCCTTCACATTCACCTCCCGACTTGCCTTGTCAGTCACTGCATGCGGCCCTGACCCTCGTCATGGTTTGGTCAGACACCCCCGACCCTTCAAACCCAACCATCGTTTTCACATCTTAGACAAAAATCATAGTGACCATTATGACCTGTCATTAGGGAGCTACACCTATACTACTGGGCTATGCATAGCTCTTATGAGCACATAAACATGAGATCTTCTACTGAGTAATTTTATTGAACATAATCGCTCTGTTGTATGTGATAATTATTTTGTCTTCATGGGCAAACTAAGAATACCGATGCCCTGAATGTGTATAATAATATGTAGTAAAGTTGTTGCTGTGGTTTTGATAGTCCCAGAGGGACATGAAGAAAACTTGCAGGGAGGAAGGATGCACTCACACACATTATTATTTAACTCTAAATCATACACATTGTCTGCTGCAGCACCAGAGCTTCAGACTGCCTCAGTGCCACTGAGTTCTCAGTAGATGTTGAAATGGTGCAAACCGTTCATTTGCTAGCATGCATGCAGGGAATTAACCACGCCTCACAACCAGTCGCAGAGAGCAGGGTTGTGAGGGTTATGAATATGCGTCCTTCTTACCATTTATAACATGATAAATCTTATTGAGGTGTGGCTTAACTGAATGTTTGTTTGCATGAAGATGTTAATCTGTATTATTTCAGGTGTGTGTGTGTTTGAAGATCCTCAAATTAACACTTCTACCTTACCCGTGTGTGTGACTGACTGGAGCATGGAGATGTGGTTGTATCGATAATCAGAGAGCCGGCTGTACACACCCACCGCGATGACACATGTAGCTGATGTCTCTGTGCCGTTGCCATGGTTTCAGGCTCGCTACAGGAAGGAGCATGCCCAGAGGAGCGCGCCGTCGCTCCCCCTGGTGGAAAACCTGCTGAAGGACAACACAGATGGCTGCGCCCTGACTGCGCTGCTGCACTTCTACTGCCCGCAGGCCATCAGACTGGAAGGTCTGCAACCATCCCCCTCTTCTGTTAACTATCCACACTTTCGTCTGTTAGCTTTATTACACACAAGACTGCAAGACTAAACTCAGTTCAAACACACATATTAAAGGACAGAATAGCGAACATCAAACTAACCACAGTGACTTTCAGTCAGAGCACAAAAAAGTCACTGTTCTCACTGCCAGTCTCTTACAATAGCTTAACAAAGAGTGTATTAATAATACTTGCATTGTGCATAAGCGAGTGTTATAAATGCAAAACCTAATCCTTATATTTCACAATATGCATTTGTTGATAGTGGTATAAATAGAGGGATAGAGGAAGAAAAAGGGTACTAGGATTCATGGAGAACAAAGCCGTGTTTCCTCTGAGCTTGCCCAGACTGTCGTTTTTGAAAATGCCCCGGGTTGGAATGTGATTGGTCATGAGGGCTGTGTGAGGGAGAGGTGGAGCCGGCTGCTATTTCAAAGACAAACAACTCTGGTGTTCGACTGTAGTTCGCAGGAAGATCTCAGGCATGTGAACCAGATGTGAAAACAAGCTGTGCTTCGTTAAGGTTTCTTGTTGGCAGCTTGATTTACTCTACTGTCTTCACTTTTTTTTTTAAAGTAAAGCGCAGAATGACATCACAGCAGAGAAACCAGCTGCCGTAGTCTTCCGTTGCCTTGTCAGACCTCCTACACATACACGGGCCGTCCTTATAGTAACGTCAGGGGATAAAAATCCTGATGATTCATCTAGAAGCACTTGAAGAGGGTTTGAACGTTTTCGTCACAAATTATTTCAAGGAGCTTAAGTGATTCAAATGAGAGGCTTCTTATGACAAATGCAGGACAATTAAGAGTCATTTCCTCCTCCTCTAGTCTTTTTTTAAACATAAACTCTTATCGTGTCCTCGGCTTCCTGTGTGGCGCGTTACCCTTTCCTTGTGTCTCTGTGTTTGACCCCTCCCCTTTGCTGAACAGATATCTGCCTCAAGGAGACCATGTCCCTGGCTGACAGTCTGTACAACCTACAACTGGTGCAGGAGTTTTGCAGGAACAACCTCAACCACTGCTGCCACTTCACCCTGGAGGACCTGCTCTACGCCCATGCTTCTATAAAGGTTGGTCAAACTGTATGTAGACAGTTCTGCTTTCACGGTGAAAGGAGATGGAGAAATGGTGAGACGTTTTTGGAGGGGGAAGAGCAAGAGTGGGAAATTACGCATGGGCAAAAATGAGTCACTCAAGGAAAAGTTTGAATGTGAGTAGGCTTGGCTCTTACAGGGATTGCGATTGTGTGTATGTTTCTGTGTGCGTGTCTATGTATGTATATGTTAGAGAGAGACAGATTACAACAGACTGTGTGTGCTGGTGCTTTCAGAGTGCAGTGTCTGTACTTTTGAGAGACTCCCTTCACTCCATCCCACTCCCTTCTCCAACAGAGGACAGATTCACATCTCTGCCCGCCTCTCTTGTTCTTCTCTCTTCATGTCTCTCTTGTTCTTGTGAAAAAACAAACAAACAAAAAAGACTTTTATAGACACAGAGCTCCTCCTTTCATGCTTATTTGGTTATGGTTAGGAGACCTACTTTAAGAGCACCCCTGTGCCATCCAAACACCAGTGCAGCAGTGGCAGTGTGGGTAAATAGTATGCAGAGAGTGTGGGAAGGAACATTAAGATTCAAGCCATGATCCGAGCACGCTGGGACTTTCCATTCCTCAAAAAAAAATAAAACATCAGAAAGTTTTCGTATTTGCACACTGTTTTCCTTCATTTCTCATCCACTACATAAATTTTAGTGTGTGTGCATGTTGACTTTTTAGTGGTACAGTACTACAACAGTGGGGTGGATCACGAAGGCCAGCTAAAGGCTCTGGCACACTGCCCGTCCACCACAGACTCACTGCGCACAGAATCTTAACAAGTGTTTGTCTGCATGTGTCTGTTCATTTTCAGTACATTACTTTAAGTAAACACAGAGGAGTAGAGATCACAGCTTTCAGCTCTCGTTCTTTCCTTGTTAGAGGAGAAACGAAAGCAGCCCTCAGTACAGCAGGTAGTTCTGCAGATTTTTACCCAGGATGCCCTTCTTGACACAACCTCGGAGGGATTTGGGTCTCCTCTCGGGATCAATCTCAGGATCTTTTGCTTGTTAGATGAACGTGTAAACCATTACACTAAAGACTCACCTTGTTAGAGAAGAAATAAACTGACAAATTAGTTTTCTACAGATCATCATCTTTGCAGACCTCCTGAGCCTATCTGGTTATTACACTAACACATGCACAACTCGTGCTGCTTTCTGCATCCCTCCGTGCACATGTTAATTTAAACTCCAGATGGTGTTTTTTGGCAGTTTTCAAAAGGTGTATGGATTTGATATTAAGTAAATCAGACAGTCAAACATTTGAAAGTACATGCACACAAACCCCAGAGTGAGACAGGCTGCTGACTTGCTGTGACCTCATTAATCCATCCAGATGTTATCTGTTATGATTGGTAGCACCTTTACAGAGACACGGAGGGAGAAGTCAAGTGTTGTGCTCATTGTCATTTACTAATATCTCCAAATTAACCATTAAGCTGGTGTGGTCTTGCAGAGTAACTACCTGGTGTTTATGGCTGAGCTTTTCTGGTGGTTTGAAGTGGTTAAACCGTCATTTGTACAGCCCAGAATCTTCGACCCGAACGGTATAGTACAGCTTTACAACAATATTAGCACGCTGTTGGTAAATGATTGAAAAGCTGAATATTGACTGTATGTTTTTGTATGCAGCCTGTGAGCCTGTATCCTGTAGAAACATGGCTCCTGTGTCCAGTCCAGTCAAACAGAGCTATGCAGACAGACCTTTGAGCCCAGAGAAAATTCCTTCTGAAGGTAACGATCGATCATCTGCTGTGATATAGATGTTTTAGAGCATTTCTGATGATTCGTTATTCAGCAGTGTGGAAATAAGTGTGAAAAAGAGGCAAGAACATAAAACAAAAAAACAAAGAGCTTTATTTGACTCATACAATAAAATAATGTACTCTGAAAGTCACTGAGGGGCGTTAATACTAACCAGTGCATGGTTTTGTTTTGAATCAAGATGCCCTCTAGTGGCTGATTTGCAGCAGTAGAAACAATCTAAACATAGCACTGTAAAAGTAAACACTTACTGCGCACACAGTGTGTGTAAATATTTTCATACAGCCAATAAGTCTCTTAAACAAATATACTCTGCGTCTCTGACAGGTGTAATGAAGAGATCTACCTCCATGTCTTATGTTGATGGCTGTGTCGGGACTTGGCCCAAAGAAAAACAGTAAGTGCTTGAAATCCAACAGCCCTGCTAAACTGTGCCTTCTTTGGCTTAAGTGGACCTTTTTTTCCTTATTAAACTAACAATTCTTCTCCTTTCCTCTTCTTTAGGTCCTCCTCTCGAGGAATCTCCTTTGAAATTCCTCTGGATGGAGACCCAACCTTCCCGCTCGATGAGGCTCCCTCCCTGCGCGGCATGACGCGCTCAGCCAGCAGCGACGGCCTTGGGTTCAAAGTTCACTACGCGTCCCGAGGAGGCATGAAACGCCAGCTCTCCATGATGCCTGTCAGTGTAAACGGCCAGAGCAGACACATACCAGAGGAGGATGACGACTTCACCTCACACAAGCCTCTGGGACGGAACAACACATTCACAGTCAAGAGCCAAAGCAGGTACAGTATAGCGGGCTTGTTTTGATCCATAAGTAATGGCTCCTGCCAGCTTTAAATGATGTTAGGGATGCAAAAACTAATGTTTTTTAATTCGTTTTACACATGTAGGTGGTGATTGAATGTAATAAATGCTCTTTCTAGAAAACAATTTATTTGTAGCATGTTGACATGGTGACACCAGATGGATTGATGGATGGTAGCTGGATAGGTGATGGTTGAAAGTTGAGATATAAAGGGTATCCAACACTTTCTTTCTGATTCTCACTGAGCAGGAAGTTAAAAGATTCCTCTAACCTGCACTGTGACTGTAATCGGTTAATTTACGTGTCTCTGTTCTCAGGTATTCTAACGGGGTCCTGCCAGACAGAAACAGCCCCAGCCACGCTGGCCACATCAGCCCATCAACTCCCCCGAGCATTGAGGAGGCCTTGAAGATTATCCATGACACTGAAAGACCACACGCTAGCTTGGGGATGGGGGATGGAGATAATGCCTTCTTTCTCCATGGTGCAGAACCTTCAGACCTTCCAGGAGCCCAAGGTAGAGGAGATGACCTGAGTCCAGCAAAGGCGCGACTCAATGAGCACGATCCTAACTCTGTATCCACTGATGAAGTCGACACAGGGATCCATGTGAGGACCGAAGACATCCAGAGCTTGGATGAGGACTCGTCCTCGCTTAGAGACTATTCAGATATGGACCCAGACTGTGAGGCCATGACCCGGTCGTGTCCTCTGCCGGACAAGCTAGAAGGGGGAAGAAGCAAGGAAGGAGGACGCAAAGGGGTCGGTGGCCCTAACCCTGAGAGTGAACGGGGAGATGGAGTTGACAGAAACAGCCCCTGTCCCAGTTCAGCGCCCACGCTGCCCAGATCACACACAGTCAGCCCTGTCTCATCTTCCGGTGGTTCCGGAGGTGGCTTGGTGCGGATGACGAGCTTCGCGGAGCAGAAGATCAGAAAGCTGGAGGGAAGGAGCAGTGGAGGGACCACGCCAGAGAGTTCAGACCTCAATGTCCCCTATACGCACTCACCAAAAAACATTTCATCTCAGGTTTGTCATTCATTCTGAGCCACTCGCACAAATCTTTCTGGATTACACCTCAGGCTGAAATAGCAATGAATCAGTGTTGCTGATGTTTACATTTGGTTCCAGATCTCTACACCTCCTCTACCAATCACATCACCCTCTCCAGTATCTCCTTCACCCAGAGATCCCTCGCACCTCATCGCCTCAGAGATGATTCAGCTGAGGATGAAGCTGGAAGAGAAACGCAGAGCGATTGAAGCACAAAAGAAAAAGGTAAACGGACTTAAAGAGATTCATAGCAACTTAGCATCACATATAAGTGTGTAAACATCACATGTCTCGCTCTTTAGGTGGAAGCTGCTTTCACGCGACATCGACAGAGAATGGGCAGAACGGCCTTCCTGAACGTAGTGAGGCGGAAGGGAGTGACAGCACCCCCCAGCTCCAGCTCAGGAGCAGAAACACCTCCGCCAGAGCCGCTCACTTCATCCAAGGACATCAGGCAGGGCAACATGGAGCGGGCCGAGAGGTGCAAGCCAGACGGGGCAGCTCCGAAATCTCCATGTGAAGATGGTGGCGGTACGAAATCACAGCACAAGATGTTTGTTTTTTTTGGGGGTTTTTAGTGAGTCTTTCAAATATTTTGATTAAATGTCTGTATTGTTCTGCAAGTTGCTAATGTTTCACTCTTCAGCCTGGATCTTAGGAAGCTGTCTGAATAGATTTATTTAGGTACATAATTCACGTCATTGCTCATGTTTGCGGTGACGCAGGTGTGACGCCAGGAGAAACCGATATTGCAGAATACACACGCTCGATTGAGAGGCTGAACACGTCGCTGAGCTTCCTGCAGACAGAGATGCAGCGTTTGGCCCAGCAGCAGGAGAAGATCATGGCCATGAGACAGCAGCAGCAACAAGCCTGGGTCATCCCACCTCCTGCACCGTCTCCACACAGGTACCACCTAATCCAAACCACTTATTTGAATTGGTCACTTACCATCACCTTGCTACCATGTCACATGTATGTTGTGGGTATTTGCTCCACTCAGGCAGCTCCGTGAGTTGCGTAGCAGCAGTGTAACAGGCCGGGGATCAGGGAGAGGCTCGGTGGGTTCCTTATCGCCGATCCTGTCCTCCTCTGGTTCTCCACACGCACCCAATCGCTCCCCTGCCGGCATCAAACGACGACCGGCCTCCTTCCACGCCAGAACCCCTCGGACGCCGCGTCCAAATGATTTGAAGGTCACGCCCTTTAGCCGAATGCTCAACACACCCACTTCCGTGGACAGCCTGCCCAGACTGAGGCGTTTCACCCCCAGCCAAACACAGATCAGTTCTTTTGCTTACTTGGGCCACGATGAGGGTTCTGGGGAAAGCAAGCACGCACACACCAAGGACAACAAAGAAAACACTAACAACGAAAAGCAAGCCGTGGTAAAGGCGAGTGCTGACACGCCTCCTACTAAAGAAGCAGCCAAAGAAAAGGACGATGAGCGACGGGAGAAGAAGACGGAGTTGAAGGGAGAATCCAAACAATCGAAAACATCACAGGTGCTCTCTCAGCCGGTGTCGGAGATCCAAGGGACGACAGACAGCCGGGTCAGAGGAGACCCAGAGGATCGGAAAGACGTGGTGGAGGTGCCTCAGTCGAACCTGAAGCCTCCAGAGAGCCAAGGTCAGGAGATGGCAGGAGAGGGAGAAACAGGAGAAGACCAAAAGATGTGCTGTGGCTTCTTTTTCACGGTGAGTTTCAGCATCAAATTTTTTAGCTCAAAACAAACCTCCAGATTTTTGTTTTTTAGCTTTTACAAATGATGGTGATTTAAACATGGCCTAACATTTCTAACATCAGCATAACCGCTAGTCGAGATGTGTAAGTAGTACCTGCCATGAAACGGGGCTGTTCAGTATTCACCCCACATTTTTTACTCTCTTCCCTCAACTGTAATGGTAATTGGTGCACGGCTCACCAACTTCTCATTAATAACACAGACTGCATGCCCTGATGGTGAAGGAAGAGTTTCACACTGTGTGAGTCTGGAACAGCATGTGCGGTGATGAGCCTGTTGAGCCATGAGCTGATCAGAGACAATACACCACGGGCGAATGAGGGCCGAGAATAACGGGCCAGAACACAAACTCGCGTTAGTCCAGTACACTCTGATAATGTACCGACATCAGAGCTGCCATCCTTACAAAGAGTCAGTTTTCTTACCTTTGATCCTGAGTTTCACACTTGATTTGCACAAATCACACTTTCTTCACCCAGCTTTCATTTCTTGTGCTTATAATTGGAGGTCTGTTATACATCTGTGTGTTTCTGTCCATGAAACACCAGGATGATGTGAAAGGGGAAGAGGACATGGCGGCCAAGAAAGCAGCTCTGCTGGAGAAGAGGCTGCAGAGAGAGAAGGAAGCTCAGGAGAGGAAACAACAGCAGGAGCTGGACCAGGAGCAGAAGAGGGAAGCTGCACGGTCCGTCTGTCTTTCTGACTTTCTGCCTGTGTTCAGCGTCCAACTACAGTTTGCATTTACCTACTTGTCTCTTGGTTTCCTTCTTTAGGTTGAAAGCGGAGGAAGAACAGCAGAAGAAGGACGACGAGAGGGCGAGGAGGGAATACATCAAGAATGAGTATCTGAGGAGGAAGCAGCTCAAACTGATGGAGGACATGGACGAGGTCATCAAGCCTCGATCTGGAAGTCTCAAGAAAAAGCCGCGGCCCAAGTCCATCCACAGAGACGTCATGGAGTCGTCGACTCCTCCCGCGAGAGCAACAGGTGAGCAACGCGACAAACCCAGCGAGCAAACGCACCCGAACTTTGTGACGCGTGGTAAAACCGCACCTGTCTGCTGTCGTTGCGCAGGTGTGCGTCCTCGAGGCTTCTCGGTGTCCAGCGTTTCTCTGGCATCTCTCAATCTGGCCAACAATGACAGAGATGCAGATAACAGGAAGAATAACAGGTAAGGCGCAGCCTGTCTGCCTGACGATCACATTTTGGACCCAAAAAGATCCAGGAGAAGGAACGCAAACATCTATCAACACCTGTCCATGTCAATGAAACCAGCCCAGGAATAAAGAATAAAACTCTTAATTTCAAAAGCAGTTTATTACTTGGATAGTGGGTTCGTGTCCTCCCAATTGTGACCTTCCAGCTGTGATTTTAATTCGAGGAAATGTTTCTTTTTTTCGTTTCTCCCTGTGAGGATCTGCAGTCTGCATCTTGATTCTCTCTTGTCCCTCTCTTCTTTTCTCCCTCTGTTTTGCATGCTTCCCTCAGAGGGAAACTAGCTTCTGCCAATATCCCGTTTTATTTAAGCTCTCCCAAAGAAAGAAAGGGAAGGTTAGTAACCCTGCGACGAGGAGCGCCTCAGCAGAGCGAGTGCATTAAACTGAAGTAGATGTGATTCTGTGTTGATTTACTGTATAAACCTCATTTCATTGGCAAACGCATAAAAGCAGATGGATGTGTCGACACTGAATAGCTGCTTCTGCAATAAGTTTCCCGAGACTCGCGTGGCTGAGCTGTTTCCACCTTTCTTGTTTTTTTTTTTCTTTTCCCATCTTCCCGTCCTGTGCAGTGCTGCTCTCAGGCTGTTGTTTGCTCTCTCCTCTCTGCTGGCTGCTCTCTGCTTCACCAGTGTATTTGCTCGTTCCTTCATAAGTACTTGAGCTCATCCCTCGCAGCACCTATAAAGACAGCACCGAGACTTTCCTTTTGCTTGGATGAACGTGCCGTTTCTGCCCCTCGCTGCTCCGTTTCATCTGACTATGACAGTACGATGATGTAATGCGGGACAACAGGCAGGGCTTGGAGATCTGTGTCACGGCGTCTGACCTTATTTTGCCACATCTGTGTGTGTGCATGTCTGTGTGTGTGTGCATTTTGTTGGCGTACGTGTCGGTAACGTGTCCACGCTCGTCTGTCGTCTTCGTGGTGGTTATGTTTGCGTGTGTCATTTGTTGGTTTGTGTTGCGATCACCTCCAGGCCAGACTCCGCGGAAGGCTTTTCTTCTTGTCCTTCGGCCGGCAGCCGTAACGGAGAGAAGGACTGGGAAAACGACTCCACCACCTCCTCCACCCCCTCCAACACTGAGTACACAGGTAGACACAGGAGTTTAGATAGTTTGTTTACATTTGCATAGCTGCTGAACAATGAAGGATTTTTTTTTGTCTGCAGTCTCACGCTTGTGCGTTGTTCCCACAGGACCTAAACTTTATAAGGAGCCCAGTGCCAAGTCCAACAAGCACATCATCCAGAATGCCCTGGCTCACTGCTGCCTGGCTGGCAAAGTCAATGAAGGGCAGAAAAACAAGATACTTGATGTATGTTTTGTATCTGTGTGTATAAATATATTTTTCCTGACTAAAAAGAGCGTAACAAACCGTAATGAGATGTTTTTTTGTTTTTCTTTTAATTTGCCACCATAGGAAATGGAGAAATCTGAAGCCAACAACTTCCTGGTGTTGTTTCGCGATGCCGGCTGCCAGTTCCGGTCCGTTTACACCTACTGCCCTGAAACCGAGGAGATCACCAAACTGGCCGGCATCGGCCCGAAAAATATTACAACAAAGATGATCGAAGCTCTGTACAAGTACAACTCCGATAGGAAGCAGTTCAGCAAGATCCCTGCCAAAACTATGTCCGCCAGCGTGGATGCCATTACCATCGCCAGCCATCTGTGGCAGACCAAGAAACAGGGCACGCCCAAAAAACACCCCAAGTAGTGCCCAGATTGGGTTGGGCAGCATCTGGATGTGCTCCGTCGAAGCAAAAACACAGGACTTTGCGGATTTTGCTCTTTTATTGACATTCCCACTTTTAGAAATCACAACTGGAATGTAAGAACACGGGTGGGCCTCAGATTTACTTTCACAAAATCAGAGCTGGCTGTAACCATTTGGACAGCTTCAAACGAGCCCCAAGTGTGTACTCGTCAGCACGTGCATCAATGTTCTCATGTGCCAAAACAAAGAGAGAGATGGAATAAAATATTAAGAGGCGAACCAATGCCTTATCTAGTTGAACCACTGAAGCACTGAATGTCACGCCTCTGAAAGAGGCCGTTTGGTTTCTCTGAGTTGATCATGTGTGGCCTTATGCTTGTTTTGTGTCAGACGAACACACCGTGAGTGTTAACGTTATTTTGTCACCGCCTGTTGCGGCACAGATGAGGGATCAGCTTACCCCCCCTCCGCCTCCCCATCTTTGATCAGAGGCATGTAATTTTTTTTGTTTGTTTGTTTTTTGTACATGTGACTGAAAAACTTCTAGACGGTTAAATTTAGTGTCTGTGTGTGTTCGAATGAGCGTGTGTGTGTGTGTATAGTGAAGTGCCATGAAGAGTGAGGGTTCAAAATACCTCAGCTGGTGATTGCACTTACTTTCCGAATAAAATGATGAGATTATCGAGCATGTGCAGTACCATCAAACTGTTCTGGAAAGCACCTGCAATAGGCTCTTAATTTATTTCAGTGCGATTTCGATGCTTTGAAGATGATTTTTAAAAAAAGGCGTCTTAGATTTTATTCAGAGAAACATAATATGCTGTACCTGTATAAGTTAAATTAGTTTGTATATAATGGCAGTTCCATTAAAGATGAACAAGTCAGCTTGTGGTAGCTTTTTGAGTAGCTTTTATAATTTATCACGTGCGTGTCGGTATGTTGTCGTTCGGGGGCCTTTTGTTGTGCTACAGATGCAAAAAGTGTGACCGCTCAGCAGCGTCGCTGACGAGACTATCGTGAGTATTAGATTAGACGGACATCCCACACTGTGTCATCAGTCTGTGCAATTTAAGAGTGATTTCGAATGCTCGCCGTTGACCATGTTGCATTTGGATCTAACAAACACTACAAATGTCACTTTAATGTGGATAAACTGTTAAAGAGCGTGATCGCCCTCGAGGTCGTCCACAGTTGTAAATAGCACTTGAGGACCCCGTCCACTGTTGTTGAGTCTAATCGAAGATGTTCCCTCTTCAGGACATGCTTATTACATTTCTTTTACGTTACTGTTACATTTTCTTTTTTAAAATCATACGTTCCTTCAGTATGTGTTTACACTGTACAGATATATTTTGGCATATAGAAGTATTTTTTGTAACAACATTTAACTGATGGAAGTGTGTACTAATGGAAGCAGTGCAGATGTTGAAGGAAGTGTGCTGAATGCAAAGTGTAGCTGAGAGTGCGTAAAGTCTCACACAGGCTTTAGTGTGGTATTGTATAAAACCCAGCAAGTATACAGAGAAAACCATAGTATTTTTTTTTCCAACTCTGAACTCATTTTCTTTTCAATTAACAAACTATGCTCAACTGTTCATGGATCTCTTTTTTTTTTTTTGTGGTTGTTAATGTTTTTTCTATTCCTTTGAGCTTTATTAAATGCCAGCTATCAATAATACGTATGGTGTCTCATTACATGTCTGTGTCATAAAATGTGCTTTTTTTAAATAAACTATCTGTGCTTGTCTTTGTGACGACTTAAGTAAAGTAAGAGCTGTAAAAATGCTCTTGTCCACAGTGTGATAATGATGAAAGTGCTGTGGGTTCATATGTGTGTGAAGGCAGACTAGGAAGTATGTTTGGCAGTATAGCGCAGTTTGGGGTCATTTGAAAAAGAATGCACTGCTTTGAAAACAAAACAAAATCCATTGGCAGCCAATTGTTTTGCTCTAGTTTGTACAAAGAATTCGGTAGTACTGGTGGACCCGCTAACTCTGGTACGCTTGGGCAAATCCCAATTCAGCTTCATTGTTCTGGGCTTTGAGCACAGGTCTCACTAAAGGATGTTGAGCCCTCAAAGCTAATGTTTCTGACATTTTGCTCAGAAACATGCACGACTAGTCTGCACGAAGTACTCATTCTAGTACTGCTGCACTGTTGATGCCCTTATATGGCCCTGTCCACTCTCCCTGTGTGTAATGGTCCACCTCATGGTTTCTCCTGCATCTTTGAGGAGCTGAATAAGCTGCATTTATTATCTTAGCCAGCAGTAGCATGGAAACTATCAAAAAGCAAAAGTAGAGAAAAATCCTTCAGGATAGATAAAGAGAAAAGGAAATATCTGTGGCCAGCACCTGCAAATCCATTCTCTTTTTGGGGGATGTCTTGTTATAACTTTCATTTGCACCAAAGCAGGTGAAATTCACAATTCACAGCAGATTCATAATGGTTTATGCTTCCTAACTGGATAGATCGATATCTCTGAAGTATACCTGTCTTGATGCAGGGCCTTCCTGCAATATTTGTTGGACTTTGTATTTACAGCATGCAATAAAAGAAAGAAGAAGACCGACCAATCTTGCAGGACAACATACATTAAAGGTACAATACAGAGAATTAATAGTAATTATATACAGTAAAACGTGGAATCAGTCTTCTTCTTCTTCAACCTTTATGTTTGTGAACTTACCTGGAATCTGAATCAGTGAGGCTTTTTAACAGATAGACCTCAGAAAGTGAAAGTCAACAATATCAGATGTACTTTACCTTCCACCGGTTCCCCTAAGGTTCGTGTCTCCACTTTTATTTATTCTTTATACAAATGAGAGTCAGAACCTCGATCAGGACTGACATATAATCAAATTTGCAGACGACTCAGTGGTCATCTCTCTGCTTCATGATGCAGATCGTGACCCAGTTGTAGATGAATCTCAAGCATGGTGTGGACAGTCCCTTCTAAACATTTAATGTGTTTAAAATGAAGGAAATAGTTACTGATTTTAGATAAGTTGGAGAAGAGGTTGGAGCATATAGTTAAATTGTGTAGCAAAGTGGCAGGTACTGAAGCTAAATGATCCTGACCTCATGTACAGAGGGAGGGTGACCCTTAAGGCAGAATGGATTTGGGGTGATGGCACACATCCTTTGTTTCAGAGTATCAGCTGTTATCTTCAGGGAGGAGGCATTTTTTCCCTCGGTGCAGAAAAAAATCGATTTAAATTCTCATTTGTTCCTACGACTATTACGTTTTTTAATTATGTGATTTGTGGTTTTTTGGCTTTATACTTTATGTGTGTTATTTATGCTGCTGACTACAAATCAAATGTCCCCCTCGGGGATAATAAAGCTTGTCTTGATCTTGAAAGCCATCTCAACCTGCACTGCATGTCATGCATGTTGCACAAACAGACCACCAGAGGACCTCAAACACATCATCTTAATGCAGATGCTGTTAATTTCCGCCTTAACTGAAGTAATTAATTTAATTAATAGATTGATTTCTTTTTTTAAAATTATTATCTTTTTTTATAGATAGATACGTCCCGTATACTAAAGGGGTCACACATGGTTTATTTATTCTTTTTCCTTTAAATATGTGTCTTTACGTTCAAGAAGGTAACAATAAAAAAGCCTCACTGTATGCACACCTTCCCTTCACAAAATGCCATTATCTCTATAATACACTGTTTAATGCTGCTGACTGTGTGAAGTTTGGCTGTATGCTGGGTGGGTGGATGGATGGATGGATGGATGGGTGGGTGGAGGCGGTGCCCCTGCAGGCAGCAGACAGGCAGGCAGGCTGGGCAACAAACAGACCGCAGAGAAACATCCAGCAAGGAGGGGACACCGTCAGAGACCAGGAGGAGGAGGGAGGGACCGACAGACACCGAAACAAACGGCGCTGACAATACCGCACCGGTACCGTCGTGACAGCGGCTGTGGGCAGCACGGAGCGGCGTTGAGGGCCAGCGTTTTCATCCCCTGTATGTTCAGAAACAGGTGAGGGTAATGGCAGCACGGCGGAGGGTTACTGTGGTCGGTGGGGACGCTGTCAGTGAGCACCCCGCCCGCCCAGCTAACTAGCGGATGATGCCTCTCTCCCCTCGGCCTGGCTGAAGCTAGTCAGCCAGTGAAATTAGTCAGCTTTGTATGAGCTCTGTCACTAACTAGCTGTTTGATGGTTTTGCCATAATCCGGAGGCTGGATCCAGGACCTATATAAAGCTAACAAGTAGCCTAAGCTTCTTATGCTGTTTGACTTGTGGCTTAGTGCCAGTGTTATTAGCTAGCCATCTCTCAGGCTAGCTTAGCGGTACTGCAGTGCGTGCGTGTGTTTGTGTGCCTGGCTGTGATTATCTGGAGTTTTATAAATGAAATCTCTCCGATCTCGACGACAGACAGCCATCAGTACACCAGAGGCTACATAGTATCACGACAGTCATATAACGTGCTGTTTTCTCCAGTGTAAACACAACCTCTGAGGCGGCACCTTAATGTTTTGACTTCAAACCTCTGTTTTGCCTGGCTTGTATGTTTTAGCGTGTTTAACACATTTTACACAGACTGGCACACAATGACCTCTGTTTTTTTTTTTTTTTTTTTTTTTTGGAAGACTTAATGCAAACCTGTAATCTCAGTCTTAAAATCTACTTTTTACAAGCTTTTGCATTTGTTTTGCCTGCTAAAAAAAGGCCCTAAACTAGTTTCATGTTTCATCCTGAAGTCACGGTGCCTGGCGATGCATTAAAACTAATCCTACTATTTTATCCTCAGGAGGTGGACAGTGTTACCCAGAATCCAGTTAATATAATATCCAAAGCAGTGAGATTTGTTCTTTTCAAAGAGAATGAATCTTCTTCTTTTGCCTGCTCCCTTTAGCAGCTCCTCTTCCTCCATCTCATCCTGTCGCCACCATCCTCCTCTATCACGCCTACTCTGCATGTCCTCAGTTACTATATCCATGACTACACTACATCCTGTAGTTTTCCTCCTTTGTCCGATATAGCCACGATCCCTCCTCTGCATATGTCCAAACCATCTCAGCCTTGCCTCTAACTTTGTCCATGGTTTTCACTCCCAACATTTTTTTAATCATTTGTGTTTTGCTTTTTTTCATCCTGTAACTGGCAGCCCGTCGTCACAATGACAGCAGAGGAAACCATAAATGTGAAGGAGGTGGAGATCATCAAGGTGATCCTGGACTTTCTCAACTCCAGGAAGCTGCACATCAGCATGCTCGCTCTGGAGAAAGAGAGCGGCGTCATCAACGGGCTCTACTCAGACGACATGCTCTTCCTCAGGTAAGTGAACTCAGTGGTCACTCTGTACAGACTAGATACAGGTGTGTAAGAATTACTGTGAAGTAGGAGCAATGGGAAACTGTTCCAGTCAGTCCAGTAAGTTTAGTGTTTCTGATAGCATCTTCTATGGTGAGGATAGTGTAACACTGCACCTCCACACTGGATGTTTGAGTGCTGCTTTGGAAGTAAGCCAGTCTGCTGAATCTGAGTATTAAAATACATTTTAGTGGTTCACCAAACAGTGTCAAGTTTCTGTTATACGCTGTCATTTTGTTGTAGTAAACACAAGATATTCAAAAAACCCTTATGTTACCGTGAGTCTTCTCATTCATAGGTCACATAAATATTTTGTTTCAGGCAACTGGTCCTCGACGGGCAGTGGGATGAGGTCCTGCAGTTCATTCAGCCTCTGGAGTGCATGGACAAGTTTGACAGAAAAAGGTGAGGCTTCCTATTCTTTTATTGCAGCTTTTCACATATTCAGTTCATTTTACCTATTTGACACTTTGTCGCTGATAACTAAAACAAACAGGCGATGTAATGTTTTCCTAAGTGTATGTAAAAATAGTAAAAGGACTGAATTTTGCCACCAGGTTTCGTTACATCATCCTCAAGCAGAAGTTTCTGGAGGCTCTGTGTGTGAATAACGCCATGTCTGCAGAAGACGAGCCACAGCACGTAAGTCAGAAAACTAAAGACTGTCATCAAAACCTGCCAAACAAAACCTGAATTTCCAACCTTTATAGCAGTCACGTGTTGTTAGGCTGTGAACAAGGTGGGCCACTGTCAAGATAAAAACAGGTAAAAACTGTTTGTAATGTGTATTGTTTGAAAAGGAAACCGTGGAAGTCTGCTTAAAAGCTCTCTGCTTATAAGTGGGTGGGTTATGTGTGTGGGTCTGTGTTTAATGGTGGCAGCACTGACATTTAAGGAGTGACTGATGGCCACACTGCGGTCAGAGGTTATCTGGATTAAGCTCTTTATTTGCTCCTTTGATGAAGTTGTTTGCTGTTGTGGATAAAACACTTAACAAAGATCATCTGTCCACCTGTGACAGCTGATTATGACTGTTTTCTCCCTCCTTGTTCTGGATCGCGTACACCAGTAGGACAGCGTTAGGAACAAGGATCAGGAACACATACTTTATAGGCTAATGCTACGGTGGTACAGTGGTTAGCACTGTTGCCCCCCAGCAAGAACGTTCAGGGTTTGACTTCGCCGGCCGGGGGCTTTCTATGTGGCGTTTACATGTTCTCCCTGTGGTTGTGTGGGTACCTCGGCTTCCTCCGACATCATGTTTGGTTAATAGGTCGTAGTTACAAATGAGAGCATGAATGGTGGTCTGTCTCGATGTGTTAACCCTGCGATGGACTGGCA